TGAAGATCATGTTCTATAAAGATATTTTGTAAATTTCCTACTGTAAATATATCAAAACTTAATTTTTTATTAGTAATATGCATTGCTAAGAACTTAATTTGGACAACTTTAAAGGTGATTTTCTCAAGATTTAGATTTTTTTGCACCCTCAGATTCCAGATTTTCAAATAGTTGTATCTCGGCCGAATATTGTCCTATCCTCACAAACCATACCTCAATGGAAAGCTTATTTATTCAGCTTTCATGTGATGCATAAATCTCAATTTCGAAAAATTGACCCTTATGATTGATTTTGTGGTCCAGTGTCACATATTGTTGTAAATCACTAATTTCTGTTATTGGATGACCTACTCAATAAAAACGCAACAAGAGAAACATATAATCAACAGCTAATATTACAGAAAAAAAGATTGAAAAAGGAGAGCCGCCAGCAGCTGAATTTGTCTCAACAAAATCGGACCAACAAGATCTAAAAGCTGCTGAATTTTAAAGTTTTAGTGCACATATACATTACATGGCTCCACAGACGGCGGCGTCTTTGATTTTGCACAACTATTATATTCGTATAGAATGAGATGTAAAGAACTGTTAAAAGTGATCAGGTGTAGCTAAGAGTGGTCCAGACCAACCGTATGAAAGTATGACTTACAGAAGGTATACTTAACTAAGAATGTTTGGAGAAACACAGGTACAGGTTAAGATACAACTTAAGAACGACGTAGCGTTAAGAAGGTTTTGGGAAACGCAGCCCTGGGCTTTGGAATGTGCTTCCCCCCCATGAGAGACCCATTTCTTCCAGCTCTGTCTCCACTGTCCGTCGCCATGTTGTTCTTGGCCTGCCACATTTGCATTTGCAAGGTGGTGTCCAACGCAAAGCCACTTTAGGTATCCTTTGACAGGACATCCTATGTACATGATTGAGCCATCTTAATCGGCGTATCTTGATCTCCTGAGATATGTTATTTGATCTTGTCTTTTTGGACAGATTGGTATTGGAGATGGTATTGGGTATGGTATATGTAACAGATCTTTCTAAGGCAACTATTATGGAAGGCATCTATCTTGCTCATGTCTACTTTCACTACTCTCCAACATTCAGAGGCATACAAAGGCACTGATTTAACACTGCTGTTGTAAAGCTTGATCTTTGTTTTGAGGCTTAGCTGTTTGGACTTCCAGATGGTTCTGAGTCTGCTAAAAGAGCAAACAAACGTGTAAAGATTCTTAAATCAACGAACATTTAAGAAAAATTACATTAAGTCGTTTTTTTTCTGAGAAATTTACCAAAATAAAGTTTATGACAAGACAAAGAGCAAGAGCAAAATTTACTTAATTCAAAGGGAAAACAAGTTTTCATACCCCATTAATAAGTATTTTTTTCTTGTTTTCATGTGTAAACTTAAAAATGTTGTTAAATTTTTAAAAAAATGTACATTTACATCTCAATTATGTACCATGTACCTTCATTTAAGAATATTTGGTTACACTTTATTTTAAGGTGTTTAATGTTTTATACATTTAAGTACTGAGTAATATTAATTAACTACATATACTTACTATATTGTTAGGGTTAGGATTATGGTTTGGCTTAGGGTTACTTGCATGTAATAATGCACGTTTTATTGTTATTATAATAGTACGTACATGTAACATGTGTAACAAGGACACCTTAAAATAAAGTGTTACTGCATATTTAGATATTTATATTGGAAAACAAAAAATACTGAGGAAGGAATAATTTTTTTTTGTTTTGTTGTGTGTGTGTGTGTTTTCTTGCAGTGCATGAAACTTTTAATGCCATGACTTTATGCACCAATTAAAGACCTTTTTAAGACCCTAAATTGCGAAGGGGAAAATTAAGGCTTTTTAAGACCTCAGAAACCCTACAGTAATTAGTAATACTGTATGTTTGAACTCTCAAAAAATCAAGATATTGACATTTTTTATCTTGTGTTTTATGTGAATAAATAACAGTATATTTCTAGTTTCAACAGTATTTCTTCTGTAATTGCTCTTCTTTAAACTCAATGAGTTTTAGATGTATGCAAAGAGACCACATTTGGTTTTCAGCCATTGAAAATGGGTAAAATTCAACTATTTGGACACAGATCCACATTGAGAAACCAATATCTCTGAGACTGAACCATAGTGCTTTAAAAATGGAGACACCATATGAAATGTTTGTCAAGAACCAGAATCTAAAAGGATATTAAGATTTCTTCAATATTTCTTGAGTTACAGTCATGCAAAGTTTGGAAAAACAAACACAAAAAGTGCTTTTTCTCATTTTTGGACTGTCACCATTGACATATAATGCAACAAGGATTGCTGACGTCAACAGATTTGACTAATATACCTACCAATCTCTGGGTAAAAGTAAAATAATAATGCCATCTTTCTGAAAGTAATTTTCTCCCTCCTGTAATTTGGTCCAAAATTTGTGGATTAATCAGTAAATATTCATTCATAGCATTTAATATTTCTGCTTTCTTATTCATTTATGTAATTCTTTCACTAGAAAGAAAAAAATGCTAAAAATCAAGATATTACCTTTGAGTTGACCCAACTTTGATCAGAAGATTGGGCAAAAAAGACAAAGGAATGAGACTTTGTATTTAACTGCTTAAGTAATGGAAAGAACTACAATAATGTAAAGAATTCCATGAAGCATTGCTACTGACATAAATAAAAACAATGAATAAATATAAAACTATTGATTAAAAGATGTTAATTATGTATATAGAAATAAAGTATTTTATTTATTCCAATACATACATATGTATGCATTGGACATGTTTGTGGGATTGGATAGACACTAAAGAGTTATTTTGCTGCAATTTGTTTCTGTTCACTGATTGTTGAAGATTGGCATATAATCATGGGTAATGTAGTTTTTCACCAGGAATTCCATTGCTAACCACAATTATTAAAAAAAAAATAAGTTGAAATAATGCATACCGATGGCTTTAATGAAAGCATATACCATCGATTAACAACCTTGTAGCTCACAGCAGGTCTGCCTTTAATGGTTTATGAGTTATCATTAAAAATCAATTCCTTTATGGAGAAAATGAATGGGATCTTTACTTCCAGAACCCGACTGTTGCACTATATTGATTAACACTATCCAACAGCCACATGACCTAGGTGATGTTAACTTAAAAGTTTTTTGAAGAAAGATTACACCAACAAACTGGCGTTTTGTTATTTGGAGTAACATGCACCAATGAATTGTTCACAATAAGTCCAGGATCGTGCATTAAGAAAGCAAATGGGTTCAATTTTGATTTCACATTGACTTTAACATCCGTAAACTCCACGAGACAAGCACGCGCGCAGGGCGAGAGCCGCCACAGTGATTTATCTGATTCAATTAGCCTGCAAATGTAAAACAAGTCAGTTCAATAAAGAGCTAAAACCTCTCTTTCTTTCTTTCGTTCGTTCGTCTCTTGCCCTTCCTCCCTCGACCTCCCTCTCTCTGCTGAATAATGAGAGTGTGTAAATGCTTAATTAGATTAAAAAGGTGTGTATAACGATATCAAGATGCTGTGTGTGTGTATGTTGAGATCTCTCTACATTAGCACTGTGTTATTGTGGGCAGGGCTGAGAATTTATGACGCACAAAAACCCTGAAACATCAAACCCATTAAAGAATCCTGATTTATTCTCCGTGAGCACTGGGGAAATATATCACCCATAAAGAGGTTTGTGTGTGTGTGTGTGTGACAGGAACTCCTGGGAAGCATGTGTTTAATAGGAGAGGCTTAGCCGACGTCTTTTTGGAAGTGTGTGACCTGAAAAAAATTAGAATACAAGAATTTTAGAATTTTAAAACCTGCTTCTAAAAAAAGTTTTCATATAATTTTCATATTTTCTATATTTTTATATTCTTCTTTGTTTTGCATTACTGATATTTTTTATTTTTATTTTACTAATATTACATTATTGTATTTTTAAAACTGAAAGACAGAACTAGATCCACAGAGATTATTTATATAATACAGTCTTCATTTTAATAATTAAGAGATTTCTAAACTTCTTTAATTTTTTATTTTGGTTCCGTTCATAGATTGGTGCTTTCTTAGTTCACTCTACACTGTTATTTCACGTTAATTATTATTATTTTATTTTGCATTATTTTACTTTACTAACTTCATTACTTGTTGTTGTACACATCAGTAGTAAATAAAAAAATCACAAGTGAGATCTATTTAGTTTTATATACAGCAATGAGATCAGATGGAGAGCAAAGAGAGCATTTTGCCCAAATAACCTCATGTATATTTTTCAACAGTTGAGTTCATTAAATTCTCCCAAACAGTGTTATTTAGTATCACTAAGATACTATTATAGTTTTTATTAATATTCTGAATCAGTTTTTATTTTTGTCCATTGTGTTTTTGTCATTTTTAGTAGTGTGTGTGTGTATATATATATATATACACACACACACTACTAAAAATGATCACACACAGATCTCCTGTTATCCATCATGCAGTGAGCAGACTCACATGCCATTAATTAAACATCTAATTAGCATATGTAAATCAAAAAATATGATGCATGTTTTATTTGACCATCTTTGGTTTTAGGAGATCAATCAGCCATTCAGAGGGAATATAATATCAGAGCTCATGCTGCTCCTGTGGTGAATCTTTGTAACAGAGATGTTAGTCTCAATAAAACAGACAGGAGAGCAGGAGTGAGTCATCTTTTCTCTTTTCTGAGTCGAACAGACCACTAAAAACCTCAAGAACGCCTCAGTCACTGAAACTTAATCTTAATCTTAATCAGTCTCACTGACCTTTGACCTGAGTTAGGCACTGCTGTGAGCAGAGGGTTTTCTCAAAGACCTACGTGAAGATAAAGATCTCATGCTGGACACCAAAGGATCATGAAGCGTCACGTTGAAGGTGCCTTTCAGAACCGTGTCCATGATGCCCGGACTCAACTACAACACACACAGCCAGAGTGTGACACATAATGTAGAGGAAATGTATTTAATACATCTTGTTTAATACATATATTTTATATATGTATTATATTTTTATATTTATATATATTTTTACCAGCCTTGTCTTTAGGGCTTTTAAAGCGATCTTCTTTTGAGACAATCAGTGCAAGTTTTGAGCCTGATTTAACATCTGGACTATAATGAGCCGGACCTGAAAACCACAATTAAACAACAGCGAGTTTAGCTTGAATAGCCCCATAGACTTCCAGTGTAATATTTCTGCTTTGTTTGTTTCAGCAAATCAACAGCAGGCCGCATATGCCATGAAGATGAAGTTAGCATAGGTTCCTTTAATAACTGTCAGAGCTGGGGTCACCTGGGGTTTCAGGGTCGTAGTGGAGGAAGGCGGCGTCTCTGGGGGCGGCAGACAGGAAGCAGCTCTGTCGTTTGCGTGCTTTCTCGTTCCGCGGCTCGCTGTAGTGATGGAGGCCGTGTATCCTCTCAAACGATTCGCTCACGTTATATGAGCTTGGCGGAGGTGTATCCTGCCAAGAGAAATCTAATATCTAACCACAGCATCATAAACATCATCTGCACAATGTATTTACAGCAAGTACATATGAGCCAGGAGGCTGTGTGTGTGTGTGTGTGTGTGTGTGTGTGTGTGCTGTAAGTGCATTGCTGCGAACACAATTTTTGCTTGTTCCTACAAAACTAATGACGAGTCAAATTGCTACAGATGCTGTACATAGAAATTAAACTGTACAGAACTAGAAATATTCCAGTTATTTAGACGTGTATGTAACTATAGCACATTTGTATAATTAAATTCGGATCATTTTGGCACGACTGTAATCATGTCAGCAAGCGAAAATCAACTAACCTCAAAATTCAAAATATAGATGTCAGTCAAGAGTGACAAGTCTAATGAATAAATATGCAAAGACCGTTTTGTGAATTAAGCCACAGTCAAAACACACACACACTCACAGAGTTGCATGTCTTGTTTATAGAGCTGTGTAAATAGAAGCTGGGCAGACAGACAGAGAGAGAGAAACATCTAGATGGGTGAAGCTAACCAAACCTGTCAGGAACAAGACTATTTTTAAGACCATTAAAATGTTTTGTATTATGAAATCATTGTCATGACAATTAAACAAAATTACAAATTCCCCTTTGTGTGATGCAAAAACACAATGTAAATTCTACAATATTTATATTTTATGGTGAATTGAAATGTAATGTATTATTTAAAATAATAATAATAATAATAATTATTATTATTATTATTATTATTACATGGATAGCACCTTTCATACATAAAATGCAGTTCAAAGTGCTTCACATGTCAGAACATAAAAACAAAAGAAGAAAACAAAAACATAATTAAAAGACATCAAAGTAAAAGTGTAAAATTAAGATAACAACAACAACAACAATATTAATAATAATAATATTATTATAGTTGTTTTTATTTGTTCATCACAATAACAATAATGTTAACATTAATGTTTTAACAATTTTTTTTTTTTTAATCATTAAGAATAATAAGAATTACAAAAAAAAACTAAAACTAAAAAGTACAACTTTCCAAGGCATTATTGTAATTTATTATAAATGTGCTAAACTGTCATGAAAATAATGTTGATGCAAAACATCATAATCCTAACATTAAGCTTCATGCAACATAAAAATGTCCTATTTCTTTCTTTTGATTTTGTGGTGAAATGTGATCTGGGTTAGATTTGGTGGGACTGACGCAGACGGCGGTGTGTATGTGGTGTTATTTGTGAGGGAGCAGACATGTGTCTAGTAAAAGCAAGGTGAGGCACTGGGCTCATAATGAAATATTTGCAGCATCTGCATCAGAGCGTCTGAGTCAAACAATCTCTGGGTTACACACTTTCACATACGGACACTTCTGCGTTCTCATATCTTGCGCTGTATAATTACTGATGTTAGATATGGACAAGATTTAATCGGAACTCTCCATGAAGCCAAACTATCAGTGCTTTCCCACTGAATTCAAGTTTATGCAAACACACACAAACACACACACACACACAGACACAGTAAAAATCTGAACTTTTAGGACAGGCTGTGTTTGAATTATTACTGAGAAAACTTGTATTGCTCAGAGTTTACTCTTTTATAGCTCAGAACATGTAGTTTCAGTGAAGTTTTATTTAAAGTATCAACTTCTTCCTTAGACATAAATGAGTCAATAATCTAAAATATAAAAAATATAAAGCTAAAAATAAATGTGGAGCAGTTTAGATCATTTGTTCTGAGAAGAATTTGATGAGAAATGTTTGAGTTCATGTTAACATCTCTTGTTTTGTTTTTTTTTGCAGATTTTAGTATCTTGGCAACTCTCAATATCAAAAGTATAGAAACTATTGAGCTATTAAAGAGATCTCATCTGTCATTTTTCTTCCCTATGAGAGTCTAAATGTGAATTTGGAGTGTTGTGTGTGTCTTACTTTGGCGAACAGTGAACCCACAAGTCTGTCAGTGGCAGATTTAAAAGCAGCTGTACTCTGTTTCTTATATAACGCTTCAGTTGTTTTCTCCACCTGCAGTAAACACGAAAGAAAGAAAATATACAAGATTACTACAAGCTTCTTTAGAATACTTGGTTCTGATCGGTAACACTTACATTTGGGTCTGTTCTTCTCATAATTGGAGTATAGCACACAAGTTTACATTTACTTTTTATAATACTTGCATGACAGCTGCTGATCACTGTCTACTTCCCGTGTATGAAAAAAAGCATAGTGGAAATTCTCCAAAACATCTCTTCCGCAAAAGAAAATGAATTAAATGCGTTTGGAACAACATAAAGGTGAATACATGATGACAGATCTTCTACTTTTGGGTCAAATATTTCTTTTTATGATGGGCTGGTGTAGTTTTAGCAGTCTGTGTGGTCTCTGTCGACAGAAAAAAACTCCTCTCTGGTTCAGCTTCTAATGGAAAACCATAATCTCCACTATCGTGACACTAGAGATAAGATGCAGCAGGTCCTCATCTCAGACTCAGGTTGAGTTGAGAATGAAATACTAGCTTTCTGCAAAATATATATACACTATTTGTAAAAAATGTCAGTGTTGGTTAAGTTACTCTAAAAAAGTAATTAAAGGGATAGTTCACCCAAAAATGAAAATTCTGTCATTAATGACTCACCCTCATGTCGTTCCAAACCTGTAAGACCTTCATTCATCTTCGGAACACAAATTAAGATATTTTTGATGAAATCCGAGAGCTCTTTGACCCTCCATAGACAGCAACTCACAAGTTCAAGGCCAAAGGTAGTAAAGACATCATTAAAATAGTCCATGTGACAACAGTGGATCAACTGTAATGTTATGAAGCTACGAGAAAACTTTTTGTGCACAAAGAAAACAAAAATAACAACTTCAATGAACAATTTCTTCTCTTCTGTGTCAGTCTTTGACACACGTTCACTAGTCGGCGTTCTGACTTAGAATGTCCATCTCTCTTAGTTCATCATCTGTATATTCTGGTTCAAATAAGTATGGCTGGGCAAAAAAGCTGACACAGAAGAGAAGAATTTGTTTTCTTTGCGCACAAAATATTCTCGTAGCTTCATAAAATTACGGTTAAACCACTGACGTCACATGGATTATTTTAACAGTGCTCTTACTACCTTTCTGGGCCTTGAACGTGGTGGTTCCCTTGCTGTCTGGAGGGTCAGAAACCTCTCGGATTTCATCAAAAATATCGTAATTTGTGTTCCGAAGATGAACGAAGGTCTTATGGGCTTGGAACGAAATGAGGGTCAGAAATTAATGACAGAATTTTCATTTTTGGGTGAACTATCGCTTTAATTACTAGCTACTAATTACATCTTCAACAGTGGAATCAGATTACTGTACTAATTACTCTAAAAAGTATTACATTACTTATTATTACTAATACATAGGCATAAAACTGCTATTTTAATTCTTTCAAATTAATAACTTTGCAGGAAGGTATATCTCCAGGGAGAGGATTGGGCACCCCTGCATTAAAACCATACATTACATGTTAAATGTTGATGTTAAATCCACTATTGTTTTATATAGAATTGTTCTATAGTCCATACAGTATATAATACAATTACATCAAAAGTAACTGTAATTAATTAAAGTAATCCCTTACTTTACTTTTTCAAGGGAAATGGAATTATATATATATTGCAGTAATTACTTACTTAGTAATGCATTACACCCAACACTGAATACAATACACATCATGAAGGACGTTTGTGGTTGCTATTATTTCCGGTTCATTTGTCACACTTGCAATGGAAGGTCTAATCAAGTGCACTGCATTGTGGGATACAGTATCCCCCACAGTGTGCTCTGTTTGCATACTGGACATTTTGGCAAATGCAGTAGGTCATCTGCATGTGCACTTGATGGACAAAAGTTTGGGGTCAGTAAGAGATTTTTTTTTGTTCAAGGATTCATTAAATTGATCAAAAGTTTGAGTAAAAAAGTCAGTGAGAATCTACAGGGCCAGCAGGATTCATTCACTGCTCTTATCTATGCAGGCAGAGACCGTGAACGAGGAACAAAAGCAGAGGAGAGTCCATAAAGACCTCCACTGGGGTCAGTTTGCTTCAGGAATCAGGCCAGCTGGACACCCACACTGGAAATGATGGACGTTTCCGAGGAAAACAGCCCGTAAAGGCCCAATGTCCCGAGTTTACTGTGAATAACTTCAGAGGCAGCGACTGATTCGGCAGCCACAACACACACCGTTATCATCCTGAATCTGTTATTCTAACAAAAACCTACCACAGAGTTTGCCAAAAGACCACAGTTACTATAGTTACTGTTACTACAGAAGAACCATAACTAGATCTAAAGAAAATATGATGCTTACGCTTGCAAAACTACTCCATCGATGCTACAATGATGTGGTCGCTAGGGTTTTCTGGGAGGTTGCTATGTAGTTGGTGTTTCTTTTGCTCCTCCTCCTAAGAATCGACACTCACGTTGGTTGCCAAATTGAGGATGCACAACAGGAACAAGTGCAATTGACAATGAAAGGCGAAGAGCCTTAACACTGTAAGTTAATGAATTGATTTAACAGCATTTAAATATTCCTTTGGTCATAGAACTTTCTAGATGGATGCCGGGGGGTTTTAGGTATGGTAGAACCCAGTTCTGACTCAGGGGCCGTTTACACGACATCGTTTTCAGCACTCACCCTCATGTCGTTCCAAACCTGTAAGACCTTCATTCATCTTCGGAACACAAATTAAGATATTTTTGATGAAATCCGAGAGCTCTTTGACCCTCCATAGACAGCAACTCACAAGTTCAAGGCCAAAGGTAGTAAAGACATCATTAAAATAGTCCATGTGACAACAGTGGATCAACTGTAATGTTATGAAGCTACGAGAAAACTTTTTGTGCACAAAGAAAACAAAAATAACAACTTCAATGAACAATTTCTTCTCTTCTGTGTCAGTCTTTGACACACGTTCACTAGTCGGCGTTCTGACTTAGAATGTCCATCTCTCTTAGTTCATCATCTGTATATTCTGGTTCAAATAAGTATGGCTGGGCAAAAAAGCTGACACAGAAGAGAAGAATTTGTTTTCTTTGCGCACAAAATATTCTCGTAGCTTCATAAAATTACGGTTAAACCACTGACGTCACATGGATTATTTTAACAGTGCTCTTACTACCTTTCTGGGCCTTGAACGTGGTGGTTCCCTTGCTGTCTGGAGGGTCAGAAACCTCTCGGATTTCATCAAAAATATCGTAATTTGTGTTCCGAAGATGAACGAAGGTCTTATGGGCTTGGAACGAAATGAGGGTCAGAAATTAATGACAGAATTTTCATTTTTGGGTGAACTATCGCTTTAATTACTAGCTACTAATTACATCTTCAACAGTGGAATCAGATTACTGTACTAATTACTCTAAAAAGTATTACATTACTTATTATTACTAATACATAGGCATAAAACTGCTATTTTAATTCTTTCAAATTAATAACTTTGCAGGAAGGTATATCTCCAGGGAGAGGATTGGGCACCCCTGCATTAAAACCATACATTACATGTTAAATGTTGATGTTAAATCCACTATTGTTTTATATAGAATTGTTCTATAGTCCATACAGTATATAATACAATTACATCAAAAGTAACTGTAATTAATTAAAGTAATCCCTTACTTTACTTTTTCAAGGGAAATGGAATTATATATATATTGCAGTAATTACTTACTTAGTAATGCATTACACCCAACACTGAATACAATACACATCATGAAGGACGTTTGTGGTTGCTATTATTTCCGGTTCATTTGTCACACTTGCAATGGAAGGTCTAATCAAGTGCACTGCATTGTGGGATACAGTATCCCCCACAGTGTGCTCTGTTTGCATACTGGACATTTTGGCAAATGCAGTAGGTCATCTGCATGTGCACTTGATGGACAAAAGTTTGGGGTCAGTAAGAGATTTTTTTTTGTTCAAGGATTCATTAAATTGATCAAAAGTTTGAGTAAAAAAGTCAGTGAGAATCTACAGGGCCAGCAGGATTCATTCACTGCTCTTATCTATGCAGGCAGAGACCGTGAACGAGGAACAAAAGCAGAGGAGAGTCCATAAAGACCTCCACTGGGGTCAGTTTGCTTCAGGAATCAGGCCAGCTGGACACCCACACTGGAAATGATGGACGTTTCCGAGGAAAACAGCCCGTAAAGGCCCAATGTCCCGAGTTTACTGTGAATAACTTCAGAGGCAGCGACTGATTCGGCAGCCACAACACACACCGTTATCATCCTGAATCTGTTATTCTAACAAAAACCTACCACAGAGTTTGCCAAAAGACCACAGTTACTATAGTTACTGTTACTACAGAAGAACCATAACTAGATCTAAAGAAAATATGATGCTTACGCTTGCAAAACTACTCCATCGATGCTACAATGATGTGGTCGCTAGGGTTTTCTGGGAGGTTGCTATGTAGTTGGTGTTTCTTTTGCTCCTCCTCCTAAGAATCGACACTCACGTTGGTTGCCAAATTGAGGATGCACAACAGGAACAAGTGCAATTGACAATGAAAGGCGAAGAGCCTTAACACTGTAAGTTAATGAATTGATTTAACAGCATTTAAATATTCCTTTGGTCATAGAACTTTCTAGATGGATGCCGGGGGGTTTTAGATATGGTAGAACCCAGTTCTGACTCAGGGGCCGTTTACACGACAACGTTTTCAGCCAAAAACGGGAAATTAATTATGCGTTTTGCCTATTCGTTTACATGACAACAGCGTTTTGGGGACTGAAAATGCATATTTTTGAAAACGGGTTTCAAAGTGCACGTTTTTGAAAACGCCATCGTTGTCGTTTCCGTGTAAACACCAAAGGTACTGTTTACTAACAAGGTGACAGCGCCAACTACTGGCCTGGCATACGTAATACAGCGGTTTTGGCCATTTTCGCGGATGTGTAAACGCGAATCGTTTTGAAAACGTTGTCGTGTATACGTGAAACTTTTTAAAAACGCAAGGGAAAAACGTTTCCATTTTTGACTACATCGTTGTCGTGTAAACGTAGCCTCAGTTCATTTGCTGGCTTCCAAGGCTGTAATATGGCTGTGTTTTCTACCAACTGGCAACCCGGGGTGTCAAAATCCTATTGGGTAAACCAGCAGTGGGAGGAGTCACCAAAACAGACAATCAGACACAGAACGCACATTTCAAAGTAGAATTGAGTAGAATTCAAAGTAGAATTAAAAACTGAGCATTTTTCCGAATTATTTGAAAACATAGTATTTTTATGCTTTAGTACAGTCAAAAAAAATTATATATAGCACTGTTAATTCTGGCCGCTTGGAAAAGCAAAAGCACACCTCTCCTGAACAAGCCAACAAGCAATTCTCTGCATTCACGTCTGCTGCATGAATGATTGATACTTAATTTAAAAACCTCACCCTGAGCACCAGCAACAGTAATTAATAGTGACATTTGCCATTAAGTGCAGCAATTGCGGTATTTTGGCTAAACCTATGGTACGTTTTGAAAGGATAGGCTCTAGATTGTAGACTGACATTTAGTGAATGCTGAGAAATATTCAGTTCAAGGGGATTTATGGAAGATTTATTCGATTCATTGGATGAAACTCTCTGAAAAGTCTGAATAAGCTCCAAAGGGCGCTGGCAGATTGGCGCACAATAGACAATGAGTGCACACTTTCTGGGTTGAAGAAGTGCTCACCTTGTACTGAGTCGGCCCCGGGCGGCTCATTTCCTCTTTGCTGGGGAGGAAAAGCCGGCGCGGTGCAATAGAGCCGAAGGCGCCCTTCCTCGTGCTCTTCAGACAGGCTTTCTTTAAACTCTCATAAGCCAGGCCATACTCAAACACATTATAGGCACCGGGACCTAGACATGCACGAGTTAGACGATTAGTTACTACTGGAGCTGCACTTACTAGGGCTGTTTGATATTGATGGCTGTTCAAAAGTTTGAGGTTGGTAAGATTTTTTTGTTTTTTTTTAAGGAAAAGAAAAGCTTTTCTGCTCACCAAGGTTGCATTTATTTGATAAAAGTACAATAAAAACTGCAATATTGTGAAATATTTTTACTATTTAGAATAACTGTTTTCTATTGTAATATTTGTTAAAATATAATTTATTCCTGTGATGCAAAGTTGAATTTTCAGCATCTTTACTCCAGTCTTCAGTGTCACATGATTCTGCAGAACTCATTCTAATATGCTGACTTGCTGCTCAAGAAACATTTCTGATTATTATCAATGTTGAAAACAATTGTGCTGCTTAATATATTTTTGGAAACTGCGATAAAATTTATTTTTTTAGGATTCTCTGATGAATATAAATTTCAAAAGAACAGAATTTATTGGAAATATAATTTTTTTTTTAATTTTATAAACATCTTTACTGTCACGCTTGACCAATTTAATGTGTTTTTGCTGACTATAAAACTATTTCATGGGTTAAATCAGGTAAAAATAGACTTTTAATTGCAGGTTAACACTTTTTACAGTGTAGTTCATTGTGTTCATTGCACTTTGACTATTTTGAATGTAATTACTGATAAAGAAAATTAAATTTAAACTGAAAATACATCAAATTCAGTAGAAAGTAGTTCAATGGAAGGCAACAAAAAAGTTTTCATGAAATAACATCTCGAGACTACTTTGTAGCAAAATAGTAGGCTACACTAGTATACCAAGCACTTTTGGCATACTACTTTCAATGTACTATGATTTGTGATGCACTAATTGTAATTTTGCATACTAGACAGTATGCAATTTAAAATGCATCTTGAGTGTTTTGATTGGTCGCTTTGAAAGTAGCTTGAAATCTGATTGGCTGCTGTTGTAAAGCATTTGTGTAGCAGTATGAAATCTAGTGCTTTGTCCCTCTGGCAAGCACAGCCCAAATCTGACCTCTCACTGTGTGTTTCACAGATAAAATACATTTTGCATTCAGTATACTGAACAAAATCACATTCACACAGGTACAAACCTGGCGTAGCTTTCGATCTGTTTTCTGGCAGGAAGCGTACAGCTGTCAGGCCGAAAGGATTCTTCTTCACCCCTCTGCCTTTCTTCAGGATCTCCAGAGCACAGCATGAATAAGCCTCAGGCTGAAGGGAAAGTAAATTTACGTCCATACAGTAGAATGCAGAAGAAGAAATGTTAACACACTTGGGAATGGGATTAAATGCATAAAGGATATTTGTGTTGTTTAACATTTAATTATTGCAGGTTTGCATCATATTCTGAGTTGCATTATTTTTATTCATTTTGAGGAATACTGAATCTGTAATTTTTTTTTTTTGTGAGTGAGATGAATTAATGCATATTCATATTTATTTTATAACTACAGTAACATCTTCTGATTTCTCTCAACATGGGGACAGGAGAGATGTCAATCAATACATTTGGGAAAAAAAAGTAACTTGCGTTACTTATTTGAAAAAGTAACTCAGATATTCTCTTGTAAATTAAAAAGTAATGCGTTACTTTACTAGTTACTTGAAAAAAGTAATCTGATTACGTAACTCGCATTACTTGTAATGTGTTACCCCCAACACTGCACAGAACTGACACACTTTGGCTGTAACTTGCAGCTTAAATGGCATCAAATGTCTTTGTAAATAAAAATCACCAAGCATCCAAAACTACTTCCTCTGATAGCTACACATGTGTAACAGAGACTAAATAAAAAGGATATGAGGTTTAAACCTTCTTCTCCTCCTGTAGAGCCACCAGCTCGTGGTACCGAGGGATGACCAGCTCTGAACGGCCTCTCTGCTCTCGCCTGAGATTCACATTCTCACAGAGGACAGTGTGATCCCTGATACACACAAACACACACACAGGGATACACAAAATCAAGCATTTAATCAAACACACCATACAGTGCTGCAGGGATGATGTATTTTTGGTATCGTCATAAAGTCAATGGGTTTTTTGAATGGGTTTTTGATTAAATTCCTGAAATAAGGTCTGTGGTTAAACACAAGCTCAAGATATTTTCAATTTTTATTGTGCAACATAAAATAGATCAGTAATACCCCCTTGTGAATTTTTAAGAAGCTTAATGGCTAAGTCATGTGACTGTGGTGTAGTTCATTTATAGCCAACATTTAGCTTTTTACTTTTGCCAATTATATATAAGCTTCGAAATTCATAGAAGTTGTGTTCCTTTTTGAAGATTATCATGATGAACAAAACATGTAAAAATCATAAACTTTTGTTGGACACAGATTTTTTTTTTCTGCAGTGATCCAAAAGACAATAGGAAAATCTTGAAATTTTGAGTTTTGTGCACAGTGTTCGTCAGACCGTCAGAGAACAGACTGCAGTTGGTCCGTAGCTAAAATTTATTCTGAAACATCTGCACATGGAAAACCAAGTCCAGATGCTTCAGAATAAATTTTGCAAGACAATGCGAATGCTGCTGTGTTACAGCTAAGACAATCTGCATCAATCAAACTCACTCTTGTAGATCATAATGTCCTGGTCCAGGTCCGTCTCCACCCATTGCCTGCTCTCTCCGGCCCGACATCTTCCCGAAATGCACTCCTTTATACTTCTGAGAGGACGACAGATCCTCCTACAAAACGCCAAAAAAAAAAAAAAAGATATTTTTCAATATATTTTTTTATGATTTCAATCCTTTCACCTTGAATGTTTGTTCCTGAGCCCAACTCACTTGTCTGCACTTTCATCAGATAATAATACAGATTTATGTTTTAAGGGAAACTATTATAGCGCATACTCTAACATTCAAAGTCCACTAAGACCATTTACTGTATTAAAACTAAACTGCAAAAAAACCCTCATAATTCAGAAAATATCATGATTAGATGATCGAAACTCTAAATACATTAAAAGGAAAACTACATTTTTACATTAAAACTTAATTTTTAATTAGTAATATGCATTGCTAGGAACTTCATTTGGACAACTTTAAAGGCGATTTTCTCAATATTTAGATTTTTTTGCACCCTCAGATTCCAGATTTTCAAACAGTTGTATCTCGGCCAAATATTGTCCTATCCTAACAACATACATCAATGGAAAGATTATTTATTCAGCTTTCAGATGCTGTATAAATCTCATTTTCGAAAAATTGACCCTTATGACTGGTTTTGTGGTCCAGGGTCACATTTGTTACACAATTTATTGATATTTACTATATAATATGGAGTATTAGCCATAATAGATGGTTATTCGTCATAATAAATCGTAAACTGCATTGGCCAAATTTTCATTGTCAGTGCATTCATAATGAAACCTTGATAAAAATGGTTAATTAACCTTGATGAACCTCATTGAGCTGCATGTTTTATGTACACTATGGCTCACTATAGGTTTTGGTCAATAAGTGGTCTTCAGTGAAACTAAATAAATACACAAAAGTGTAAAAAAAAAAAGTGCAAAAATAAGTGTAAAAAAGTGGGCGAAACTAAATGGGCGGAATATGTGTAATCAACGAGCAAAACCTGAGACGAGAGAGAGAAACAGAGATGCACCATGACGGATGGCCCTGCGCTTTGATAAAGCGTTCTTCCAGCTCAATGGCAAATGAAAGATGATTTGATTAAAGCTGAGTCCAGCATCTGCTGCATTATTGTAAGTGAATATTGAAATATAACGTAAAGAATAATTACCCAGGGTTTTCGGTCCTGACAGTAAAATGGATGAGTGCTGCGCTTTGTGACTTTTTAAAATAATGCAGCGATCATTAGTAATGGAAATAGGTCTGGCACTAATGATGCAGAGCGGAGGGGCATTA